CGGATCCCTATTTCTTGGAATATCAGCGCGCCCACATTAATCTTGATTCCCGCCATGATACATGCAATGATAAGAGCTTTTTCAATGGCCATCTCAGTCTCGTTCTGGGTCGGTATCAATCTAGAAGTAAAAAAGCTGAGCCAGAAATGACCCTCTCTTAAAAACCTCTCTTTGTAGATTTTATGCCCAGGATTGATCCAAGCTGGAGTCCCTTTTGCGATCACCGAAGCAATCCAGCCTCGCTCACTTTCCCTGTTTGCAAATTTTGCATCATATTCAGCTGTGCCATCACTCCAACCTGGGACGTACAACTCATTAATGGTATTGATGTTGCAGAAGACAGTTTTCCCCCGAACAAGCACTTCATCAGTGAAAACTCTGTTGCGTTTATGGTACTTAGTCTTGGAGGCCCCATATGACGCATAAAATTCTCGAACAAGGGATTCATTATACTCAGTAGGTGGCTCAGTGAAGGACCCCCATCTTCTCTTATTTATGTTCTCCAAGATGTGGGGATACTTGTCTTTCAACCCATTCAGACTCAATTGCTTCTCGGGCGGGATTTTTCGCTTGAGGAGCCCTTCTTTATACTTTTGCATGGACCCCTCTACCCTAAAGCGGAGGTGGAAGTCATCTCCTTGTTTCCTTCTTGCCTCAGCCAGTAGATCAACATCAGGCAAAAGCACCTCCTCTTCAGACTGGGAAGGGCTTGGCTCATCTGATTCCGTCCTTGATCGCTTTGCTTTTGACTTGGGACGACTGGAGGATGCCCTTTTTAGGGCTGAGAAAGCATGCTTTTGTTTGGGGGCCGTGTCTTGTCAATTCTGCAGTCATTAGGGCACTGCATAACACACAATGCGACCGCATATGTGTTATGCGGTAGGGTCAGGTGACCTGCTGAAGAGTGATAAATGCGGTGCACAATGCGGTCGCATAAGTGAAATGTGGCCCGCAGAGTGCACCACCTCGTCGCATTTTCTTCCACATTTTAGCCAAACTTTCTGTTTTTGTTTGGGGTTAAAATGCGGTCCGCATAGTGAAAATGCGACCGCATTCTTGCAGCAAACTTCACATTGTGGTTTTTCTTCATTTTTTTATGCATCCCTACCAAGTGTTGTGACTTTTTGAACCCCCTGCACTCTAACACACACTTTAAATTGCTCAAATAAATCTATCTATCAAAAATTAAAAATTCAAAGAACAAAAGAGTGTTACCACACATGGGTTGCCTCCCATGAAGCGCTTGATTTAACGTCGCGGCACGACGAGGATGATGTTCCTTTGAATTCACTCAATGGTCGGACATGGACCATCTTTGAGAGCCAGCTGCTCCACCAAGTGTTTTTCTCCATCTGTTCCCAAGTAGTGCTTGATGCGTTGGCCATTTAACTTGAATGACCGGGACCCATCCTCTGATTCTAATTCCACCGTTCCATAAGGAGAGACATTGACCACTTTGAATGGACCGGACCATTTTAATTTAAGCTTGCCCGGAAACAATTTGAGCCTTGAGTTGAAGAGTAAGACCAAATCACCCGCCTAGAACTCTCTTTTCAAGATCTTCTTGTCATGGACAAACTTCATCCGTTTTTTGTACACAGCTGCACTTTCATAAGCATGAAACCGGAATTCCTCCATTTCATTGAGTTGTGTTAACCTCAAATTTGCAGCTTCAGCCCAGTCTAAGTTCATCCTTTTCAACGCCCACATAACTTTGTGTTCCAATTCCACGGGTAGATGAAATGCTTTACCAAAGACTAGCCGATAAGGAGAAGTACCAATAGGGGTCTTGTACGCCGTGCGGTATGCCCATAATGCATCATCTAGCTTCCTTGACCAGTCGGTCCTATTTGCGTTAACAGTTTTTGCTAGAATGCTCTTGATCTCCCGGTTGGAAACCTCAACTTGACCACTTGACTGCAGATGATAAGGTGTGGCTACCTTGTGCTTGATGCCATACTTCTCAAGTAGCCCCGAAAAAGCCTTATTACAGAAATGAGATCCACAGCCACTAAGAATGGCTCTAGGAGTGCCAAACCGAGTGAATATGTTTTTCTTCAAGAAGGCAGTCACACTCCTTGCCTCGTTGTTTGGTAAAGCAACTGCTTCAACCCACTTGGACACATAGTCCGCAGCTACCAAGATATATATCATTCCGCAAGAGCTTACAAAGGGACCCATGAAGTCAATCCCCCATACGTCCAAGATCTCTATCTCCATCACAAAGTGCATTGGCATTTCATGCCTCTTGGAGATTGAACCTTCCCTTTGACATTGGTCGCAAGCCTTGACCATTTGATTGGCATCATGATAGATGGAGGGCCAATAATAACCACATTCAAGAACCTTAGCCGCTGTTCGATTTCCTCCATGATGACCCCCAACCGGTGAGTCATGGCATGCCTTGAGAATTGGCATAACCTCTTCTTCGGGAACACACCTTCTGATAATATTGTCAGCACAAACACGGAACAAGAATGGTTCCTCCCAATAGTATTGCCGGCAGTATCTCAAAAACTTATTTCTTTGATATGATTCCAGTCCGTCCGGGATAAGGTCACTAACCAAGTAGTTAGCAATATCGGCATACCAAGGAGCAAAAGTGCTAGATAATGCCAATATGTGTTCACCCGGGAATGCATCGTTGATCTCAAGATCTCCCTTTGGTCTCCCAGCCTCCTCAAGCCTTGACAAATGATCCGCCACTTGATTTTGAGTACCCTTGCGATCCTTGACTTTAAAGTCAAGTTCTTGCAACAACAAGACCCATCTAATCAATCGAGGCTTTGCATCCTTCTTTGCCATGAGATAGCGAAGAGCCGCATGATCCGTGTACACTATCACCTTGGACCCCAACAAATAAGCCCGGAATTTCTCAAAGGCATAAACAATGGCAAGAAGCTCTTGCTCAGTTACCGTGTAGTTCATTTGTGCCCTATTGAGAGTTTTACTTGCATAGTATACCGGGTGGAGAACTTTGTTGTGACGTTGGCCAAGCATTGCTCCAATGGCTACACTACTGGCGTCACACATGAGCTCGAAAGGAAGTTGCCAATCGGGTGTGACAACAATGGGTGCCGTGGTGAGTCTTTCCTTTAACTCCTCAAAAGCTTTAAGGCATTTCTCATCAAACACAAACTTGGCATCTTTTTCGAGGAGTTTGCACGTAGGATTAGCAATCTTGGAGAAGTCCTTAATGAAGCACCTGTAAAACCCGGCATGACCCAAGAAACTTCGAACACCTTTCACGGAGGCAGGTGGAGGAAGCTTGGAAATAATTTCAATCTTTGCCCGGTCGACCTCAATGCCATGCTTTGAAATTTTGTGCCCCAACACAATACCTTCGTCAACCATGAAGTGACACTTCTCCCAATTTAGCACAAGGTTGGTCTCTTCACATCTCTTATGCACTTGTCAAAGATTGTTAAGACAGTGCTCAAAAGAATCACCAACCACCGAGAAATCATCCATGAAAACATTGAGAAAGTCCTCTACCATGTCAGAGAAAATGGACATCATGCACCTTTGAAACGTGGCCGGAGCGTTGCACAAGCCAAAGGGCATCCGGCTAAAAGCAAAAGTGCCATACGTGCAAGTGAAGGTAGTTTTCTCTTGATCTTCCAAAGCGATATTAATTTGATTGTAGCCGGAATACCCATCAAGGAAACAATAGAATGACCTCCCCGCTAGCCGATCAAGCATTTGATCAATAAAAGGCATAGGGAAGTGGTCCTTGCATGTAGCACTGTTAAGTTTCCGGTAGTCCATACAAACCCGCCATCCGGTCACTGTTCCCGTTGGAATGAGCTCATTCTTCTCATTTTCGATCACGGTCATGCCACCATTTTTTGGGCACACATTGTACTGGGCTCACCCACGAACTATCGGCAATGGGGTAGACTACCGCGGCATCCAACCACTTGATAATCTCCTTCTTTACTACCTCTTGCATTGACGGGTTCAACCGCCGTTGATGTTCCACACTTGGCTTTGTCTCGCTCTCCAATTGGATTTTATGTTCACAAATTCCCGCGGGAATCCCACGGATGTCCGCAATTGTCCATCCAATGGCTTTCCTATACTCTTTCAAGACTTCCAACAATTGGTTTACCTGCACATCATTTAACAAAGACGAAACGATTACCAGTAAAGTATCATTAGAGCCAAGAAATTTATACCTTAAGTGCGGCGGAAGTGGCTTGAGCTCTAGTTGTGGTGGCTCAATGATTGATGGCTTTGCGGGGGGTGTGGCCCGATTCTCCAAGTCAAGAGAAAGCTTTGCCAGAGTATAAGTGTAGGATCCAAGACCCTCCAATGCATTTACCGACTCCATGTACCCATCCATGTCTTCACCATCAAAGTTTACCAAGATAGCCGTCAATGCCTCATCAAGGCATTGTTCTTCCATTTTCAATTCGACGACATCTTCCACCTCATCAAAAACATCTATCACTGAAATGCTCTCATACTCATGGGGTAACTTCATACCTTTGCTCGCTTGAAATGTGACTTCTTTATCATTTACCCGGAATTTAATTTCATTCCGCTCCGAATCCATAAGTGCTCTTCCCGTGGCTAGGAATGGTCTCCCAAAATGATAGGGATTTCTTTATCAACCGCACAATCAAGAATTACAAAGTCAGCGGGCAAATGGAATTCTCTAACTTTCACAATCACATCATCAACAATTCCTACCGGTCGCTTAATGGAACGATCGGCCATTTGTAATCTCATGCTTGTTGGCCTTGGAATCCCTAATCCCGCTTGCTTGTAAATGGCAAGTGGCATCAAGTTAATGCTAGCCCCATTGTCACAAAGGGCTCTTGAAAAGTCACGCGCCCCGATAGTGCATAGAATAGTAAATGCTCCCGGGTCCTCTTTCTTTTGGACAGGGGTCATGGCAATAATAGAGCTAACCCGGTGAGTCATGTTTACCACCTCATTCTTTGTGGTCCTCTTTTGGTGATCAAATCCTTCAAATATTTGGCAAACCCCGACATTTATTGAAAAGCTTCCAAGAATGGAATGTTCACCGATAATTGCTTTAGAATGTCATAGAATTTCTCAAGCTTACTATCATCAACCCTTCTCACAAGTCTTTGAGGAAAAGGAGGAGGAGGTCTAGGAATAGGGAGTGGAGCTTTTGATGTCTCCTTCACTTTTTCCTTTACCTCTTCTTGGTTCACTTCTTGCACCTTCTCTTTTTCTGGCACCCTTTCAACTTCAACAACCCTTTGCTTTTCCGATTCAACTTCTTGTTCAGCTTCTTCCCTTACAACCGCTTGCTCAGTTTCTCCTTGTAGAACCTTCCCACTTCGAGTAGTTATTTCCATGACGTGAGAAGTTGAGCCACTTCCACCCTTTGGGTTTGCAATAGTATCACTAGGAAGTTGACCTTTTTGCTTTGGGTTTTGCTCTCTAGAAAGGTCTCTCATTTGCATCTCCAACTTTTGAATAGATGCAGTGTGAGAGCCAACAAGCTCGGTCATGTTTCTCATGGATGCGTCAGACTTTTCTTGGTTTTGCAATACTCTTTCAAGCAAGCTTTCTAACTTAGATTCACTTGACGACCCTTGATTTGTATATTGACCTTTTGGGGGAACATACGGGTTGGAGCTACGGTTTGCAAAGTTGTTGTTGTAGTTCCAATTTCCTTGATGCGAATTACCTTGATCTTTTCTCCATTGTTGGTTGACTTGCCCTTGCGGGTTAGGCCTCCATTGGTTCTGTTGCCCTTCACCATGGTAGGGTTGCCTTTGATACCCTCCTTGAGGGTTGTTGATATAATATTCTTCCTCAAAATTCTCATCTAATATGGGCTGCACATCTTCCACTGCATTCACTTTCTTTGTTTGATTCGCGGTGAACATCTTTGTCAACACATTGACATTTGTAGCAAGCCCTGCAATCACCTGATCTCTCTCTTGATTTTTCTTGAGCATATTGTTTAAGGAAGGAGAACCATACGTAATTCCACCGGTAGTATCCTCGGAGTGCCATGCTTGGTTGTGATTAGACATTTTGTCTAGGATTTGTGTCACTCTTGCAAATGATTTGTCCATGAAAGATCCGTCAGCTGCATTCTTGGCAATGGCTTGATTCATAGGATCTAAACCCATATAAAAATTTTCCAATAACATGGAATCCGGAAAACCATGGTTTGGAGACCTCACCAAATATAATTTAAAGAGGTCCCATGACTCATGCAACTGCTCTCCATGTATTTGCTTGAAGAAGAAGATCTTATCCCGCAACTCCGACTTCTTACTTTGCGGGAACCACTTAGACAAAAATGCCCGGACAAGTTCGGGCCAAGAATGGATAGAGTTGGGTGGCAGATTCTGGAGCCATTTCCTTGCATCCCCAGCTAGAGAATACTTGAAGCATCTCAACTTCAGGGCATCTTCAGAGACATTGTTTTGCTTGTGCATTGCACACACACCCAAGAAAATCCTAAGGTGTTGCGTTGGATCATCATCGGTGGAACTTCTGAAGAGCCCTTTTGCCTTGAGCATAAGAATTAAATCGTGTTCCACTTTAAATATTGCAGCGCCAACGGCAGGAGACACAATAGCGTTAGTATCCTCAATGTACTCCTCGATGTCTGCGAAAGGATTGTCTCCCATTTCTACCTCTACATCATCACCATATTCTGACATGTTTTCCTATCAACACCAAGCGAAGAAAGAAAAGTGTGATGCAATAGAAATAGACGTTAAGTAAAGTACACACTAAATAGTAATTTCAAAATCGTATTCCCTGGCGACGACGCCAAAATTTGATACGCTCAAATTACACTTTAATAAATAGTGTAAGGCGGTCGGTGTCAAATATTATAACCCAACAAGGTTGGGGTCGAATCTCACAGGGAATAGGTGTGAAAAGGTTACTCTTATAGTGTGTTGCTCGACTAAAGTTGTAATTTTATTCAGTTAACGGTAACAAGAGAATGGATTTATAGTAACAAGAGTATGGGTTGAGTTTGTTTTGAAGTAACAACTAATTGGAATATTGATAGTGTAATTAATTGGATTAAATAAACCAAGGTTGTGCCCCTTTAATGAAGTGTAATGCTATCGGTGTTAATATGATATATTTCTAATGGAACGTCCTTTTGATATGCAAATGATGCCTAAATGACTACCCAATATTTCCCAATAAATAGATAGTATTTTCTCTTTATAATTTTCCCAAATATAAAAGAGCTGGAATTGAGAACCATCAATATATGCCAAATAAAACCCACTTATTCCTAAGCGATTCTATTAAACAAGGTTTAAAGCCTTGAGTCTTTGATATTTACTTCTACCAAATTCTAACCCACTTTCCCAAGCAAAGTAAGAATTAAATGGCACTTTGTTAATGTTTGCAACCACCAACAATAAATGAAGAATCAGAAGTGAATAAATATCAACCAACCATTATATATATATTCAATGTTAAACACCCATTAACATAACACCCATTTAGGGTCCACAACCTTAGTATTTAAAGTTAGCTACTCATACTACAATACAAAAACAAAAGAGTATTTAATGTCATAAAGCTTACAAAGAGAAGAATCTTGACCCAAAAGCTTCCAAAAGTGAGGTGTCACGCCCCAAATTCAAGGGACATGACCGGCGCCTGACCGGGTAGCCCCAGTCAAGCGGACCTGGGTGCCTTTCCTAACCCGCGTGTTACCCCACGGTTTCCTTATTCAATTTTCCAAGAATTAGCCATATAATTAATTAAGAACACTTTTTAATTTACAAAGCATACATACTTACATAATAGTAATGAAATCACCAATTTGTTGCCCAACGCATGAAACACGGATTTACATAAGTTTCTAATCCACATCTAATGTCTACGGAGCCTCTAAAAGTACAACGGATAATACAGTATTTGCCGGTAACAAGGCTCCGGCTATACCTCACACAAAGATCAAAATAAAACTTCGGAAACAAGCGGCCTAAGCCACGCAGGGCCCCGAGAGGAAAGGGGCTCACCAAAAAGCTGATGGATGACGAAGGGGAGCTACGATCGGTGGACTGGAGTACCTGCTACGGATCCACCTACAATCATAACACGAATGTAGCGCCCCCGGCAAATGGGACGTCAGTACATTTGAATTGTACTGGTATGTATGAACAAACTTTGCTCCAAGTAAACTCGAACCATAAAAAAGTAAGTAGCAGTAATAAAAGCAATGATCAAATCAACAAGGAGGAAACAATTAAGCCAAACAAGTATACAATCTCCCCTCCATAGCCAAGTATGTAATTGTAATAGAAATAACAATCAAATCCACAAAGAAGGAACGATCAAACCAAATAAGTTTACAATCTCTCCTGTTTCCCCTTCCACATTTCCACATCAATAATTTCACAATTTGTTCATAATTTCATTTCAATAGCGATTTCGATCGCTTTCCAACCTTATTACCTCGGCCACCCTTATTACCTCGGCCACCCTTATCACCACAACCCACACCTTATTACTTCGTGTTGCGGAGCGCAACCCGATCCCACCGAACAATCACAACTCACAACAATACCACAACAATAACAATTTACATAAACAAAGATAACAACAACAAATCTCAAGGACATCAACATGAAATCCCAATAACAACAACGACAAATCACAATGAATAGCAACACGATACACAAGGGATTTCTTTAACCATCAATGACATTTCCTTCTTATTCAATAGGCCGATGCACAATTTAGATCACAATGGTAGTTTTCCACAACCAGCCACATATAATGTTACCACATTTGTTTCGATTGCATTGATTACAAATCCTTTCCACTATCGGTTCCACAACTTTTACCACATAACACATTCATATTCATAACTTGGACCGCAGAATTTCCCCTAAAACTCTGAGGAGTCTGTTCGGGTCTACGACAGGAATGCGGTTCGCATTCCTGTTATGCGGTCGCATTTTGCACCGCAGAACTGACCTTCACAAATCCTTGAGGAACTTATGCGATAACTATGCGGTCCGCATATTGGTTATGCGATCGCATAATAGACCGCATTTTCAACATTAAGTTTGACAACTCTTCTGTTCCACTCTGCGGCAGAAATACGGTCCGCATACTAGATCTACGACCGCATTCTGGGCCGCAGAATGGTATTTTTCTGGAAAAATTGATTCTTTTGATTTTTGAGAGCTTAGATCAATACCAAGGGTCCGAACCGCGGCGATCTTGCGAGCCGCGAAGAATTTTACACATTCCTAATACACATATTCGGAGCCGACACCACAAGTTACTGGGTTTTGAGCCCAAAATTTCTACGGGGCCTCACATGAGGAATATTAATGTCTTGGAATGTAGCTCAAAAACTAGACAAGATGAGCCCACAAAACCATCATAAAACTATTTATAGTGGACTGAAAATCGGGACAAAAAACGGACAAAAATACCCTTTTAGGTCAGAAATGCGACCGCATTCTTATCGCAAAGCGTACGTGCGGTCCTCATCTTTGACGTCCCCATCGTAGACTGAAAGTCTAATTTTCAGATCTTCATCGCATTCCAGTTCTGCGGTTCGCATTGCAAAAATGCGATCGCATTTTGCATCGCACATTCGTCCTTCAGCGACCTTCATGGTTGGTTTGCGGTCCACTTTGCGGCTCGCAAACAGGTTCTGCGGTCGCATAATGGAACGCATCCTTGACTTGAGATTTTCCCAGAACTCTGCTTTTGTCTGCGATGTGAGTGTCAGTTATGCGGCTCGCATTAGTGATCTGCGATCGCATAATGCGTCGCAGAACCGCATTTTTCCTACATTTTGCTCTTTTCTTGCTTTTTGCTTTCATTTCCATGCTCTTGGGTCCTTAGTCCTTATGTACTACAAAAAACACTGAAATTACATAAGTACAGGAGATAATTGCATCTAAAACAAGCAAAAATCTAAGCAATTAGTATTGAAATGTGCCAAAATTCTCCGACACATCACAAGGAAAGCTATAAAACTACATCAGCAAATCAAGATTAGCTCCGTAAATCTGGTAAATCAAATCAGCTATAACGGAGTGAGAATAATCAAGATTCGAGGAGATCAGTGATTAGAAAAATCACGGAAGAATAATAGATGCTAGAAGATCCGGTCAGTGATCATGTTTGGAGGGTCCAACAATCAAGGAGAAATCTCGTCGAATCAATTGTCTGCCAAAGGAAAAGATATCAATAGAAGCAACGGCTCATTCCTTATTCTTGGAAAGAATCAATTCTTTCCAAGGATCAAAACCCTTGGGTTGACAAGACTTCACCATTCATCATAGTATAAATTCACTTTGTAAAACCATCCTTAGATATACTTTGATCGAACCAAATAACTCTCTTCATTCTACTGCAAACAAGCATAGTAGCTTACATAGATCTGCTGTGTAACAAGTCAGGGATAGAAAGAGGGTACACAACTGGTGAGGCACTGTATCAAACGAGTGGTAGAGAACTTGAGCAATATAGATCACATCTGTACTCGAAAGAAAATTCATTTACTTGTAGAGAACTCCCTTGCAACCCAAGGGAACTGGATTAGGATTCACATTGAATCCGAACCAGTATAAAAATTTCTGGTGTCTTTAATTTCTGTACTTACTTTCTACACATTACATCTAGTTATTATATCTGCAATATTGACATATTCAGTCGACTACCACAGTTATAAGTAGATTCATTAACGATTAATTTTAATTATTGACAATTCACCCCCCCCTCTTGTACTTTCAATTGGTATCAGAGAAAGGCTCACATTTTGTTTTCTGCTTAACACCTTGTGAGAAAAAGATCATGGCAAATCAGGTTATCATAGGAGCTATCTTTCAGGAAGGAACTTCACAAGCAAGACCACCTTACTTCAATGGACAAAATTTCTCCCACTAGAAAATCCGAATGGAAATCTTCACCAAAGCGTACGATGTTAAAGTATGGACAATTATCAAGAAGGGAAACTACCCACTGCCTGCCAGCACTCCACCGCTCGCTAACTCTGATGACATAGACTCATACTCAAAGGAGCAACTGGAAGCTGTACAAATCAACAACAAGGCAAGAAATCTGCTTCACAATGCAATAAGTGATGAAGAATATGAAAAAATATCGAGTTGTGATACAGCCAAAGAGATGTGGGACAAACTTGAGGGTACCTATGAAGGTACTAACAAAGTAAAGGAAACTCACATCAACATGCTTGTTCACGACTATGAACTCTTCTCAATGAAGGAGGGAGAATCCATTGAAGAAATGTTTGCCAGGTTCAGTAAGATAATCAGTGACTTAAAAGCTTTTGGCAAACCATACACCAGTGGCGATCATGTTAGAAAAATTCTCAAAAGTCTACCAACCACTTGGCAGACTAAAGTTGTCACACTAGAATCTCAAGATCTTAACAAATTATCATATGATGAACTGCGAGGAGAGCTCATTGCTTTCGAAAGAACGCATCTGAAGAAGACAAATCAAGAGGAGAAAAAGAAAATTGTTGCATTCAAAACCACTACTGAATCGACTGAAAATGAAATTGATGATCCTGAAGCTCTACAAGAAGAGATTTCTATGATGTCTAGAAACATGGATGGACTGATGAGAAGATATAGAAACACAAAGAAAGGAAGATTTCCACCAAGACGATCAAGGCAATACAATGAACAAGACAAGA